TATACCTGATCCAGAACAAATCGAACTCCGAAACTTAAGAAAAAAAGCGAAAGATGGAGTACAATCTGAAACTAATTCTATACCTAAAATATATGAAGAAGAATTAGCTCGTTCAAATCTATCTTCAACAGCTTTAACTCTTGCACCTGTTGCTGTTGAAATTAGTAAGTTTATCATCAATCAAAACATCCAATGCCTTTTTGTGTACTCAAAAAGTGAGTACACTCTAGAATCGGTCAGTGTGTCCGTCCGTCCGTTTACACGATAACTTTTGAAAGGAGAGTCCGATCACGATGAAATTTTCTACACAGTTTAGTCTCAACAATATCTAGGTCGCGTTCGAAGATGAGAATGATTGGCCGAGCCATTGCTGAGTTATTGTGAAAATAGTCATTTTTCTCTATGCTTCCCTATGAGAAGATCGACCTATCTCCGCTTTCGTAAAAAACTTTTCCTATCATAGTCAAATAAAACCCCAGCTATTATATACCATTCAATAGAGAATTTCACGAGCTACAAAGTGGTATATAAAATATAAGGAAACAAAAAAGCCAACTCAGCTATTGCAAAGATAATTAAACGGAATTCGGTTCTGTTTTTGTCCACGCTCTAATTGATCCACAAATAGAGCTCTATCTTTCGATCACAGAGATGATAGTTCGAGGTTTTCTAGGATGGAGAACTCGAATCTGTTCTCCATTCGCCTCGAAATTCCATTGGTTGAACAGTAACCAATAGAAATCAAGTTATAGGAAAAACGACTTTCTTAGGGCAAATCAAGGTGAAGAGTTCAAATCTGAGCTGTATTCACCCCCAAATCCTATTGGTTGAGTAGTAGCCAAGAGAAATCAAATGTTTATAGATAAGGTTTGTCAGGATAATTTTTATATCCTCATATTCTAGAACGACTCATCTGTCTCATTCACTTTTTGAAGTACACATAACTCTCGGATTTAAATCCGAGGTTTTCACATTTATTTATTTATTGCGAAAAAAAATTCGCTCACTCTGCTTTTCGCTGATTTATTTCTTCGCTGATATGTCCTTTCGCCGATTTGCTTCTTCGCTTAAAAGTGTTTTCGCTCAAAATTCCTTCGCTCAATTTTCTTTTCGCTGTTTTCATTCGCCGAAAAATCTTCGCCGAAAAGCCTTTCGCCGATTATCAACCTCCCCGTCGACCAAATTATCATTAAACATGCAGAAGCGAGGTAATTCGATTTCATCATATTCGTTTGATGCTAATTCACCATTGCCAAGTTTAATCAGTCATTTTGAGAACTCTTCTTCATCTGGCCCTGTTCTCATGTTTTGTTATAGATGCATGACTTTGAAGTACGGCTAGATGTCAGAACTTTTGAGACTTGCTGCAACTAATTCTGATCTGCTTGCGAATCGAATGACTGGAAGAACTTGTCGAAAATCTCCACCGAGTATCATAATTTTTTCTCCAAAAGGTACATTGATGTTCATTATATCTCTCAGCAAAATATCAACTGCCTTGAGAGCATACGATGGAGCCATAGGTGCTTCATCCCAAATAAAAACTTCTGTTTCTCTAATCTCTTCAACTTCCTTGCTGTTCGATCGAATACTGGATGTGGATGTTTCTAAGATTGGTACAGGAAGCTTGAAACGACTGTGTACAGTTCTTCATTGAAGTAGTAAACTTCCAGCAATTCCTGTCCATATAACTGGCATAACGTAGACACCTTGACCCATGAATAAGTGATATAGGGTGTTATAAAGGTAGGATTTTCCTGTACCTCCAGGTCCATCTATGAAGAAATATAAGTCAACGGTGGTTGATTGTTTACGATGAGCTGCAAGAATTTCATCTGCTGCTAAACGCTGATCTTGATTCAACATTGCATACATTTCTTGAGCTATTTGAAGTTCTTCTTCCTTATTGATAATTTTTCGTTCAAATGAATAAGGAACAGATGTTGGTGATGGTATACCAAAATCACTGCAACTTCGACCTTGCTCTTTCAGCTTTTCTTCAATTGCATAAAATGCCATTGCTTATGCTGTTTGAACATCGACATGTTGCATGAAGTCCTCGACCATATGTGCTTTAAATGAATTCTAGAGATCTATCGGTTTTGTTGGATTACAGTATAGAAGTATCACACAGAAAAGCGTCCTTAGCTGTTGTGGCATCTGGAACATAACTGCTTCAGCCATGCATCTTTCATATTCAGTATCATCATGTAATAGGTCTCGTTGTTTAGCAGCTTCCATGAATGTTTGACAGACCTAGCCATCTACTGTTTTGAGATCATCAAAAGTACAAGCACCTAGAGTATGTAACAGTAATAATTGAAGATGGTAGCGTTCTACATCACTGGGGCTGATGGAGTACATTCTACAGATGACGTTTTCACCTTGAAGTCGACACTTTCATGTTCCATTGCGTTCAAAAACAAAGTGATGTGGGATATCATGGTAGAGATATTGTCGAGCATCTGGATTTTTGGAGTTTAATTGGAACCATGCAGTAAGGGTCGTGTCTTTTGAGGCAGCTCTTTCCAATGCTTGTCGTTCGTTTCCTTCAGCAAAATAAACTGGCTGCTGATATGGAAGATGAACGGCTAATCTGATAATAGCATGAGACTTATCATGTAGTGGGAATTCAAAAAGTCTCCATGCAGCTTCAGGTGCGCTCACATATCTTGCATCGAGATGTGCTTTAATTTCATCCCATTCCAAAGTTTCTTGAGTGGTAGCACCTTCTTGAACTGGTCGTTCTAATTTGATATTAGCACAATCATATCCCTTGTAAATGTATTTAAATAAATATTTGATACTCTTGACCGTTGCACAGATTTCCACGTTAATGTGAGCATCATATTTCATTAATAAGTATGGATTATAAGGAACTATCCATCTATTATCAACTTCATTGTGCCAAGCGATATATTGATAATTATGTTCTATCATCAGTATGTGACATCATCCTTACGTTATTTCACTCTTATATCATATCATCCTTGTATGATGTCAACCTTGTATCCTTACGTAATACTGCTCATAGTGTTCAATACCGTTGTAATCGCTGCGCTATACACTGCATATATGCTCATTGTTCTCTTTTCACTCCAAGAGATTACCGCATCAAACAGAAGAAATATGAACTCGTTGAGAAGGAGAGAGAAGAGAAGAGAACAATCGAGAATATATTCGATCGATATAGCACAGAGTGAAGGATACAACACACTCGACATTACACACTTTTTGGATGGTATATATAGTTGATGTAAAAGTCATATGAATAATATAATATATATAGAATAGCGTGTGTTAATATTGAGAGAGAAATAAAATCATGCTCAACAAGTAACGGAAATGAGCTCAAAGAAATAAAAAACGAGGCAACGCCTGAAATACGTGATCCAACAACGCGGTCACCAATCTTTCTACATCGCATCCTTCGATTATTCTCAATTTTTCGTTACATTCATATCTGCCAATGTTTATAGTAATTCCATTGTCTCTTCTGCGATATCGTGGATAACCATCTTTATTTGCCGTAGTTTCATTTTGGAATTCCTTTGAAAATTCTTTTGAGCATTTTCCATCTTCCATGCAGAGAGAGCGTTGGTTCAATGTTCCACACGGTCCGTGAATCATATGTCTTCTTACGGATTCGTATAATTGTGGAAACCGAACAGGATCTGGTATTTCACTGAAGACGATACGATCAATGTGGTTGTCATCCTTTAACTTGTCTTCGTTGGCCAAAATTATGAGCATATGACAATGTAGCAAGCCGCGCTTTTGAAATTCGATTACGAAGACATGGCTATTGTTCGTCCTAATATGTGCTTCTTGAAGATATCATCAATAAGTTCATTGAGTTTAAGTTTAAAGACTCTGGCAACCAGATCAGGTCTATCTGAAGGAGTTTGACCAGGAAAAAGCTGCTCTTCAGTTTCTCTCCATGTTGGGTTGCAGGTAAATGTGATGAATAAATCGGGTTTTCCATATTTTCTGACCATTGCCATTGCATCTTGATAATTCTGTTGCATTGCTCTAGGGCTTCCTTGAAAACTTGATGGAAGTATTATAACGCGTCCAGGTCTTAAACCTTCTATTTCAGCTTCATTTGCCAAATGATCCATTAGACCTTGGTATAATTCTACTTGAAGAGCCTTTTGATTTTGTCCATGAAATGCAAGGCGATTTTGTTCAGTTTTGACGTAGGTATCGACAATGTATTGTTGGAATAATTTTCCTCCATAGGGGATGGCACTGAAGGTTGGACGAATAGCTAATCGATACTACCAACGACAAAACGACTGCAAATCGTATTTTTGATCTAACATGTAGAATATATGATCAAAAGAAGTTTTCTTGCATATGTATAAATTAGAGACCTGCAATAGACTCCGAAAAGTGACTCCGACTCCGACTCCGACGGAGTCGGAGTCGGAGTCGGAGTTGAAAACAAAAATTTTTTCGGAGTCGGAGTCGAACCGGAGTCAAACTTTTTTTTTCGGAGTCGGAGTCGGAGTTGATGTAAAATTTGATAGACTCCGGAATTTTTTTTTCTTTTCTTAAATAGCAGTTTTTTTCAAAATACTAACGTCAAGTAAACGAAAACTTGACGAAAATCATTTCAAACCAGCGGCGTACGCAGAAATTTTCCAAGGAAGGGGCCCATGTTCTCAAGGAGAGGTCCCGTAATGGAGTTTTTAAAAAATTTGTCCTGTAGTACCTTTTCTACCCGTACTCTCCCACGGAGAACTTCTCTTCAAGGGGGAGGAGGCGCGGACCCCCTTGCGTACACCGCTGTTCCAAACTACGATTAATTAAATGACTATAACTTCTGATTAGTCCGACACAGTTTGAGCTATTTCTTTCCATATGATAGCTCTAATCATTCTCTACAAAATTACACACTTTGATCAACTGTCTATATATGTATTTCATATAAACAACGTCAATCTAGAGAGAAGGGTCGGAAGTGTCCGACCACTCTTTATATTTAATATTTAAAAAATGTTTGAAAACTCAATCAGCTTTAGTTTTTCTATCTAATATTTTACATATCTATTTATTCATGCACAATAATCGCCAAGCAGACCTCATTTGTGATGGTAAACTAACTTTAAGTTACATAATATCTCCGTACATGTGACCTGCTGCTGATTTACAATAAGAAAAATTTTCGGAGTTTTTCGGAGTCGGAGTCGGAGTCATTGAGAAAAAAAAATTCGGAGTCGGAGTCGGAGTCATTTAGAAAAAAACTCCGGAGTCGGAGTTGGAGTTATATAGGAAAAAAATTTCGGAGTCGGAGTCGGAGTCGGAGTCAAAAAAGTTTGACTCCGCAGGTCTCTAGTATAAATAGCACAAGTTTAGACGTTTATAATACATATAAAAACTTAATATGAAAATACAAGCTATTGATATACAGGGTCGGAAAGAATATTATTCAAGGGGGGTAGCGATATAATCCCGAATAGGAGGTATGATAAATTTTATACCAAATGAAAGCCCGTGAAAAATGGGGTTTATTGATGTTAAATAGTAAGGGTTATGTAAACCTTTTAATATCGAACTTAAGAAACTTTCAGAAATTTTATACATTTTTGGGAGTAGAAAAGGAAAGTGCTAATAATTCAAAAATGGAGTAAAATGTTTTTCTTGGATATTTTTACATAGTTCGATAGAGCTCGTCGAGCTCTACAAGACTGTATATACTAACAATTTTTTAAGCTACTTTTCTGTGATAAAAAATTTAAAAAACTATTTGGAAAATCTTAAAAAACGCAAAAAAACTGATATTTTTGATATTGAAGAAAAACACTCGACTTTGCAATAAAATTAGCTTTTTTGGCTATTTTTACTCCCCCGGGCGTTTCAAAATATACTCATTCGATGCAGCGTGAAAAACTGCACCGAATGAATATATTTTCAAACATATTATATAAGGACACTAATGGAAAACAACTGAATTTATTGTAAAACAGACCACTTTTTTCGCCTATAAAAACTGTACAAAATGCTGATTTTTGGGTGTTTTCTTTAGACAGCTTTCATTGAATTTCAATCCAAGGATCCTGTTTAAAAATTTTTAGTATATACAGTTTTGTAGAGCCCGACGAGCTCTATCGAACTATGTAAAAATATCCAAGAAAAACATTTTACTCCATTTTTGAATTACTAGCACTTTCCTTTTCTACTCCCAAAAATGTATAAAATTTCTGAAAGTTTCTTAAGTTCGATATTAAAAGGTTTACATAATCCTTACTATTTAACATCAATAAACCCCATTTTTCACGGGCTTTCATTTGGTATAAAATTTATCATACCTCCTATTCGGGATTATATCGTTACCCCCCTTGAATAATATTCTTTTCGACCCTGTACTTTCTGAGTCTTTTAATACATGCTTGAATAACATACAATGTGCGCTGTAAAAAGCATGTACATTTTTATTTTTTTTACACTTATACAAATCACAAAAGTGTTGAAAAAATTTTCTTTCATATCAAACTTTGTAGAGCTTTTTTCGTTGATCATTTTAGTTAAAATAAAGTTTGAATTTCATTGACTAATGACGATGTTATAGTCAAGACACTAAACACTGTAAACTAGCTTAAATTGCAATTTTTTCTGACAAATAATCATAAAACATCGATTCGCATATCTCAAGATAGTTACATTTTAGAGAATTATAACCTACTAGGTTTTGTAGAGAAAAGTTTGTTCTACAGAATCTGCTATTTCATACTCTTCTCTATAAACCTACTATGTCATAATTCTCCAAAATGTAACTATCTTGAGATATGTGAATTGGTTTTTTTTATGCTTATTTGTCAGAAAGTTGCATTCTAAGCTAGTTTACAGTGTTTAGTGTCTTGACTATAACATCGTCATTAGTCAATGAAATTCAAACTTTATTTTAACTAAAATGATCAACGAAAAAAGCTCTACAAAGTTTGATATGAAAGAAAATTTTTTCAATACTTTTGTGATTTGTATAAGTGTAAAAAAAATAAAAATGTACATGCTTTTTACAGCGCACATTGTATGTTATTCAAGCATGTATTAAAAGACTCAGAAAGTATATCAATAGCTTGTATTTTCATATTAAGTTTTTATATGTATTATAAACGTCTAAACTTGTGCTATTTATACATATGCAAGAAAACTTCTTTTGATCATATATTCTACATGTTAGATCAAAAATACGATTTGCAGTCGTTTTGTCGTTGGTAGATAGCTATAGAATTGAAGCATTGATACTCTTTTTCAATTTCGTGATTGATCAATTTTTTCCAATTCTGGGTACCATCCTTTATCTTCGCGAGGAAATAAAAGAGGATAAGTCATTGGATCACAGTGAGAGTGTAAGATTGAAATCGTTTCAAGATTTTGGCTACGTGGATGAATAGCAATATATCGATATGTTGGAACTTCACTATCTTCACCTACGAAAACTGCGGCGACTTCATTCGCTGTTGGAAGATTGTAGAGTTGTCGATCGTGAATTCCATGATTAATATCAAAAGTCATTCAAAATGGAGACGGTGCTCCTATCTCTCTCTTGGCTCAATCAATTTCTTCTTGTTTGACTTCATGCATCATCTTGAAGGCAGCAGAAAAAGGACTAATGCTCTTCATTATGTCGCCAAGTTTGCTCATTGTCGTTTCATTGCAATTTTTATTAGCAGCATTTCCTATCCGTTCTTCTAATGCCAAGGATGAGTCCAAAATGTAAAGTTGTCCAAATTGAGCACTCTGGCCAGGATCAGGATGAAGTGGGCCGATCCGATGATAGATTTGTCCATGAATGCGAAAGCAATAGCGTCCATATCTTTGTGGCAAATCAATTTGAGCCCCCATAGATGCAAATGCAAGAGCACTATTGTAACTTTTAATATTTTCTCGAAAGTTTTTTGATTCAACATCGGTTCCTTGTAGAAGAGCTTTGATTTCATCTGGATATGCAAGAAGTTCCAGAAGTTGAACAGATCCATAGTGACAGCACTGCTTGAATTTATCTTGTCTAACAGAAGCGCACTCATCCTTAAAGTGTAGAACATTGCAGTGTTGACAGAGGTTATCCATTCTCCCATGGTAACTTTCAGGAGGGAATTCGTCTCGAAGTGCGGCTCCATATAACGATCCACTCTGTTTTCGACGACGGCACTGACGAAAACTGTTCTTTGCTTGTCGTTCAAGTCGTTCGTCATCAGTTTCTTGTTCTCCTCGTTTTCTTTCTCTTGATGCATTCTTTGTTTGTCGTTCATCATCAGTCTCTTCGTCTCTTCGTCATTTTGCTCGTAATGCATCTTTTGCTTGTCGTTCACATCGTTCATCATCAGTTTTCTGTTCTCTTCGTTTTCTTTCTCGTGATGCATTCTTCGCCTGTCGTTCACATCGTTCATCATCAGTTTCTTGTTCTCTTCGTTTCTTTGCTCATGACGTAATTTTTCGTCATCGCTCTTGCTTTTCTTCTTCTAATTGTTGCCTGTATTGTGAACGATGCATTGCTGCATTCGTTTGCAGTCGTTGCTTTCTCTTTTCTTCCATTTGTTGTGTACGTCGTTCTTGGATCCTTTTGGATCTCCTAAGTGTTTTCACCTTAGAGCTATCATGTAATGCTTCGACTTCAAGTTGGTTAGCAGCATCGTCTATGTTCGAGATATTTTGCTGGTCACATGGTGTTGGTATTGACTTGTCATCATATTCATAATCCATCGTAGAATCGTCTGTTGTATCAGTCGTCATTGATATCAGGAAAATGATCTGCTTGCAGTTGCGATGGGTCTATTTATACCCATCTGTTACCTATGGTAGAACCTTCCAGAAAATTCTCGATCATCCATGATGTCATGTATGACGTAAGATCACTGGGAACTTCTGGAATATTCTAGAACATTCCAATAAAAGCTAGATCATTAAGAGAGGGTCCACGAGACCGTCGAGGATACGAGGCACTCGATAAAATTTTTTTTTCGATTTTTTTTTTATTCATTCAACACTTCAGTGTTTAAAACTACTAACCCTAAAATTTTACGTTCTGATAGCCTTCCTATGAAAAGTTGGACAATACCGACTTTTGGCACAATCGGACCTAGTCGTGAAAAAATAAGTAAAAAATGTTCCATGA